GGTGCAGGCGCGCCTCCCGCGCCGCCGCGACCAAGAAGAAGGAGATGGCGGGGCGCTGCAGCAGCGGCACGAGCCCCGATAGCGACGTCAAGGGCCCCAGCGTGCAGGGAGGCGGCCTCATCCCCAACGGCGGCGGCGAGAGCCAGGAGGCGGCGCGCGTGGAACTGCCGCAGCCGGTTCTCGCCGTGGATCTGACGCAGCGCGCGTGGAGGTGACGCGAGGAGGTCCGCCCCGGCCGCCGCGAGCGGGCGCGGGCGAGCTCGGCCCCGGCCGCCTCGGGCACACGCGGGCGAGCTCAGCCCCGGAGAGCCGCCGCAGGCGTGGGCGCCGGCGAGCTCCGCCCCGGCCGGCCGCCGCGGGAGCGCGCACGGGTGAGCTCTGCCCCGGACAGCCGCCGCAGGCGCGGGCGCCGGCGAGCTCCGCCCCGGCTGCCTCGGGCTAGCTCGGCCCCGGACAGCCGCAGCAGGCGCGGGCGCCAGCGAGCTCTGCCCCGGCTGCCTCGGGCGCGCGGGGGCTAGCTCGGCCCCCGGACAGCCGCCGCAGGCACAGGCGTGGGCGAGCTCCGCCCCGGCTGCCTCGGGAGCGCGCGGGCGAGCTCCGCCCCGGCCAGCCGCCGTCGGCACTGGCATGGACGCAGGGGAGCTCCGCCCCGGCCACCGTGGGCGCGCGGGGGCGCGCGCGGAGAAGAGAGATGAGGCTGAGTTTGAGAGAGAGAGAGAGAGAGAGAGAGAGAGAGAGGATAGGGATGAGAGGGGTATTATGGATGTTTTGACTGACCTGGTCCACTTGTCAGGACTCCCAAACGGTGAAAAACGAACGGAATGCGGATGGAATGGCTTGGAGAGCAAAGAAGTTCAGAACGGTGGCTTATATGTGCGGTCAACTTTTTTAATGGCCTGTATGTAATTACAAACTTTTTTAATGGCACACATGTAAAAGCCTCAAATATCACTACCTGGTGGTGATTTGACCTGACATTGAAATCCCAACTATCACTGCCGTTTGGTGATTAGACCCAGCAGTGTTATAACAGTTCCGATTGGCAGGTTCAACAGACTGTGATATATCTCGCCATGCCGGTTTATTAGGGTCGTCAAACATTGACCGATTCTAGGTTTACAACCTGACAGTGAAGAGCAATCACTGCCAGCTCCAGCGTACCCAGCAGTAACTGCTTGTTCTGACGTAACCTTTCCTTCTCTGAACCTTATAATGGAGATACCTCAGCATTTATATGGATGGTTCAAATTGTGTAAAATCATTTCTATAATGTGCCTCATTTATTTATTTATTTATTGGTAGAAGATACCAAATCATACAAGTAAGATGGTTCAACATTAATATATGATATGAGGATACATATATCTCTGTTACGGATACATGTATCTCTTTTGTGGATACATATATCAATTAACATTAAGATGTGCCGCTGCATGTAACCATATATATCTCTTTTAATTTGTGGATACATATATCAACATTAAGATGTGCCACTACATGTATACATATATATCTCTATTGTGGATACATATATCAACATTAAGATGTGCCACTACATGCATCCATATATATCTCTATTGTGGATACATATATCAGTATTAAGATGTGCCACTACATGTATCCATACATATGTCTATTGTGGATACATATATCAACATTAAGAAGTGCTACTGCATGTATATAAACAGGACCCAACATGGCAATATGCATACCAGAACACAAGTCCAACAAATATACCAATACTATTCTTCTTCACTTGGCACTCATAATCCGCAAGACAATGAGGACCGAGTGCGCAGCTCTTTGCATTGTCCTGGTGATTATGTCTTCAACTCTCTCATCCTCCAAGGATGGTACGTATATAACCTCTTATGTAGTACAATAATTCCATTCTTACATCTAGAAATTTTAGAGTACACGCATGCGTGCGCGTTCGTTGGTACTGCGTGTTTCCCGCGCACTGGAGGCGACGTGCCTCTCAATCTCTTCTTTGCTTGTGTACAGACGAGCACGCGTGTATGTGCGTGTGGTGTGAGTGTGGAGTGTGTGGATTGTGTGCATCCAAGTTGTACCCGATCAAAAATAAAAACTCAGATGTGGATCATATATGCATGCAGTTGTTCAGAGGATAGGTCTGATTTTACCAGCTGGATGTACTCTACCGCTTTGCCAAACAAGATGCTCGGAGTTTGCCAAGAAGAATGGCGCAGTGGTAAAGATGTGCTTCTGTGCGGCGGAGAATAATTGTGAATGCTTGTATGTTCAGCAACAGCATCTACCCCTTACTACAGAAGTCATGGGATTAGCTGCTGCAGAGGACGATAATGGAACTTTTGTTTGAATATATACGATTAAAATTAACACAGACGATGGATAGGATCATTACATGACGATGAATAATTAATTTATCCATGACCTGTTTCCATCTGACTGTAATAAAATGATTGCGCATCTTTCTTATTATATATACTTTTGTTCTCCCAACGTATATCCACCATTCAGGTTACAACTAAATTATTTGAGGCCGTGCTGAGTTTTGTATTTTCAAAGAGACCTGGTGATTCCTCAGGTTTGGTCGAGTTATGCGGAGAAAGCCTTGGAGCGAGACCATCGAATGAATCAGTCCTATGACTATTGCGCACGACGCTGCCCAACACCGACGATCTGGTTGCAGTTTGTTCTCCCTTCTATCTATAAGAGCATCTCCAAGAGTTACCTAAATATTCCTCCTAAAAAGTCTATATTTACTCATTCCTAAAAAGATTTTTAGGAGAAAAAAAAGAAGTTCATCTCCAATAGTTCCTAATATTTGACTTCTAAAAAATCAAATGCTGGTCCCATTTAACGTTTTTTTTCTACGTTCTTTTTTCCACACGAACCTCTTTGTCGCCGCGCGTCGTCGTCGTCGCACCAGTACTTCTTCGCTAGTTGCACACACAGCACCAAAAAGAGTACGAGTAGTCAGACGTAGGAGTACCACGTACGTATGCGCGCGCCCCAGCCCGCGGTACGCGAGACATGCACATATACATACATGCGCGCATGTAGAGGCGTATAGCTAGCCGTAGAGGCATGGCCACTGCCGCTTGCCATACGTATGTGTACCGTGTACATACGTGGTACTCGCTACGTCTTCACTTGAACGCCGTGTCCAGGGGCGCCTCGGTGAAGCACGCCGAGCGGCGGGAAGCAGAGAAGCCGCCGTGCGGCCATGGAACAGTCCCAGCTCTTCGCGCGCGAAGTCGAGGAACATCTGGTACTCCTCCAGCGCCTCCACCACCTCCGTCTCGTTGGACGCCGCCGAGAAGTCGTCCCTGAGGGCGCAGCAGCAGCGCTGCGGCTCTGCTGATCATCATAGCGTCCTGCTTCCTCTTGACGACGGGCGATGGGAGGAAGAAGCGGGCACCCCGCCGTCTTGCGGTTCCGGCGAAAGAGTCCCCGATGTCCGAGCTCCACAGGCGCAGGAAGATGTCCACGGGCTTGGCACAGCAGGCCTTCAAGTCCACGGTGGAGGAGGACGAGGAAGCGGAGGTTGCGGCCTACCGGTGGCAGCAGCAGCAACCCGTCGACACCGACCCTCCGGCTGCTGCGACCACCGAGGCAGCTTGCGCAGCTGCGGCCCGACCCCGCCCCGTGGCGCCGCCGCCCGCCCGCAGCGTGGCTTCATCCGCGTAAAGTTACGCGGAAGGGGGGGGGATTTCCCAAGTCCTAAAAGATTAGGAGTAAATATTAGGAGTTTTTGGAGAGGGTTTTTTTCCAATCTTTCTAAAAAACAAGGACTAGGAGGATGTTTAGAGAACTCTTGAAGATGCTCTAATAACTTAAATAATGGGCATGGGCGCATGGCTCTCTATACTATAGCCTGACTGGCATGGCTCTACCAAATGAGAATAAAGAGTATAGGGCTGCGAAAACAGATTTGCTTTAGTTTCCTTTCATGCCCTAAGCATTTCTAATGAGGTTCCTAAATAGGTAGCCTACCCTACTTTTTGACGACAAAGTAAAAAGAAAAACACAATCAATAGGGCCCCACTTAGATCTCTATTACTTTATGGAGGCTCTCAAATCTACCCCTGGCCCCATCACCCAGGGGTATATAGTGAGCTCCTACTTTTTTCTGGAAAAATTTTCCCTGCACAACTCATTGTCGCACGTCTTCTTTTTCATGCTGACTCTTTCCTGTGCCGTCGCCCTATTTCCCTCTCGACACGGCTCCCCTCTCGGCACCTATCCAGTATGTCCTCGGCGAGGTTCACTCAACCTTGGTATGGCATCTCCGATGCTCCTCGCCCTCATAGCTCAGTTGATTGGAACAACGGTGTAGGCGACTGGAACGACAATGGTGCTCCTCGCCCTCATGTCCCCACGCCCACATAGCTCAATCAGTTGAAATGACGGTGGATATGACCGAATGGCAAGTAGGTCCCCATTTGCCACTGACTATAGGAATGGATTTGATGGCCCTAATAGGAGGGCTCCCATTATAGTGGACGAAAAAACAGACCATCAAAAATAAGTAAAGCCCTCAAATCAAGAGTAAGACCAGAGTCCTGATTTGAGGTCACCTGTTGAAGTTGACCTAATACACTAAAGTATTTGCTAGTTTGAAAAAAAAAGACAAAAAGCCCTTATGTTTTACGAGCTTAAGTTTAACCAATTATATATAAAAAAATATGGTATCAAATAAAATACTATTAGATTAATTACAAAATGTATTTTTATAATAAATTTATTTAAAGTCATAAATACAAATATTATTTATTCAAAACTTGGTTAAATGTGAATATTTTAATTGACACGTAATCTATAGTTGTATTTTTTTTTTTTTACGGAGCCACTATGATCTTTGTTTATTTGTGTACTTTTGCTTCGTCAGTACCTTTTTCTATTATTATTATTACTCCTTTCATGAGTCAATGTCAGTCGTTGAAATGGAGATGGTTGCCACGTAATGAAGCTAGCGCAGCGGCTGCAGAGCTCCAACCCCAAGCGCAGCGGCAATGGAGATGGTTGCCACGTGTCCAGTGAGTCAATCTCTTCCTCCGTGTTTTCTCCACGCGAGGAGGAGACAAGAAGCAAGATTCGTTTTCGTCACCAGCGGAACAGCAGAGTGCATCGGCTGCAGAGCTCCAACCCAGGCGCCAGACACCCGGAAGCGGAAGCGAGTCCGGTCCGAGAAGCTTCCAGATTTCCTCGCGAAGCCCCGCCATGTCGCCAATCAAGGTATACGCCCACAGGTGGTCGCAACCCTGCCGCGCCGTCATCATCTTCTGCAGGTAGGTCTGCACTCTGCTCCCTTCGGTTCTTCAAGCGGTCCCGGCCGCTCGATTCTTGATGTCCGCCGCCGCGCGCAGGGTGAACAAGATCGATTTCGAGGAGGTCACGGTGGATCTGTTCAAGTCTCAGAACCTTACCCCTGAATTCAAAAGTACCCCCTTTTCCCCTCATTAGTCACCGTCCTCATGCTCATCCGAATCCTGATTTCCGTCCTCTTTTCTGGCCAATATTGCTGCAATTGTTTAAACTGTGTCTCAAATTGAGTGTCAATTATTATGTGTACTATGCTAATCAATCGAGAAAATTGGCTATTTGCCATTGCAAAAGATTGGCTTTGCAAAATTGCCATCCAAAAGATTGACTTCGCAAAATTGCCAACCTAAACATGTATACTTTGTTTTTGTTGCCATAATCCATATTTAGCTCCTTTGTTTCCTAAACATGTATGTACATATGTTCTTTCACTACTAGTGGTGGAAAATTCATGAAACTCATCTGGCTAGTATTTGCCGAGCTGCTTGATTTCCTCTGATTGCTGCTCCTCTCTTCAGAGATAAACCCAATGGGACAAGTTCCAGCAATAGTCGATGGAAGGTTTAAACTTTTTGAAAGGTGCGCCCTATCAGAACTCGTATGGGTGAATTCCCCTGATTTATGAGTTGCCTGCTGATTGTCCCTAACTTTGTTGAAACCTCATCTATAAACATTCACTAACATAGATTCAGTACATTTGGCTTCATTGCTATTTCAAAATATGTTTGTTCACTTTTTTCTTTCTGCCTTCGACATATGTAATTTACAAACCAATGTTATTTTAATTCTGACAAGCACAAAAAGGGCTAGGAGGCATCTGCCCAAGCGAATGTTATAGACCTTGCTACAAGTTTGTTTAATCACAGTCCATGTAACTAGGACCACCCTTTAGAATTATCTGTTTCATTATGTGTATCATCCTTTACATGCTTCAACTTTGCTAATAATACTACTGATATTAAATATGTGTAGTATCTCTAGTATAGTTTTCCAAGGCTTCTACTACATGTTGCATAGATCCGGAGATTTGGTTTAAAGAAATTGTAAGGAGATTGGACATAGCAGCCTAATGCTATCTGCAGCAGCCTGTAATTTGAGTTGCCAACGACTAGGTGCCTCTGCCTTTGTTTTGCAGAGCACTGATCCAACTCTCATCTCCTCGCCTCAAATATCTTCACAATGGATAATTGACTTACTGTGATGAAACTTGACATTTTTTGACAGTCATGCCATTTTGAGGTATCTTGCGTCGTTCTTCCCCGGAGTTGCAGATCACTGGTACATTACATAACAGAAATGATTCCCAATTTATTTTTCTTTAAAGTTGCTGTTTCTTCTGGACTACCTTTTGCAAACTGTATCACATTGAATTGTTGTGTGCTTCTGTAACTTGTAAGCTGATGACATTTAAAAATGATTTGCTTTGTGCAGCATATAAAATATTTCCCTGTAAGATTCAAAGTAATGAGTTTGATGTAGTCTGATCAAGTTATAAACTCATTTTTTTCAGTTTTGTTTTGTATTAGTATGTCAAAGAGGAGATCTGTCTCTTCATGAAAAATGAATTATTTCAGTAACTTCAGAGCTGATGAGTTTGTGCAGAGAATTTGAGTTTTTTAGCCACTATGAAGATGTTTTGTTTTACCATTTAAGTAGCAAGGCTGGCAGAAGCTATACCAAACTTTTCCAGAAACCTAGTCAACTTTCCGTCAATGATTGATTTGTTGAAGTAGTTATATTGAAGCTGGATCATGATTCATAAGGCAGGATCATGTTGCTTAGTTGCTAGAGCTGGATTGCTTGAATTGATTAATTTTTCTATAACAAGTGCTCAAAGCAGATTTCTTAATGCAGAATGGGTCTATATCAGAAAATTAATAAGTAGCCTTACTTGAACAGGATAATGTGTGTTCTATTTTGATGATTGTTGCGAGTCATATATCTTCCTTGGTACTCTTGGAGCCACTGTTTTTGACATTTTGTATGATACAGGTATCCAGCTGACTTGTTTACCAGAGCCAAAATTGAATCAATCTTGGATTGGCATCACTCAAATTTGCGTCTTGGTGCAGGTGAGAACCAAAGTTACTCATGGAAGGTACCTCTAGGCTATTGTGGAGTAATCATTTACCATGAATTATTTCGGTATTTGGTTTGCATCCTATCCATCTTATAATCCTGTGAATTTGGCGGGATGGCACCAGTACTTATTTGTGTTCCAGCCTTGAGCTTATGGTGCATGTCGTAGTGATGGAATAATCCATTCTACTCCTCAAACTGAACAAATAGGTTCTGTTTGGATTTAGTGTTGAAGGCTCCACTGATCATCTGGTTTGTTTTAACCCAACACCTTTTATGTATTCACTTGAGATTGTGCAGTGTAGTCAGACATCAATTATCTTTCAATGGAAATAGGTGATCCTCCAAAACTGTGCTGGATCATACTTTTTTCATCCACCTAGTAATGTAGTTTTGTGTCTCAAAAAAATACCCCCTTTATCATATATTGATTGTTTATGCCTGTGCAGGAACCTTTGTATACTACACTGCATTGGCACCTTTTCTTGGCCTTAGGCCACGTCCAGATGCTACAAAACGTGCAGAAAAAGTGCTGATGCAATCCCTGGCAAGGATTGAATCCATATGGCTGAAAGGTGACGCCAAGTTTTTACTGGGTAGTCCCCAGCCATCAATCGCAGATCTAAGCCTTGTTTGTGAGATAATGCAATTGGAGGTGTGTACGTTCCTTATTTAAATCTATTGTGTATGTTTTCCTTGTCAGGAGTTAAAGTTTGGTGCCATTGCAGCATGGGCATAACACTAGGCCTGCTGTATTTGTTCTATCTTTTTATTAAGATCAAAATGCAGACTTCAATGCTGTTTATTAGTAGCGAATGACAGTGCGACAATTTTTAATTAAGAAGGTTAAGAGCTGAACCAGTGTTCAAACAGTGCTCCTAGGATAATGACTAATTGCAATTCATTGAAAAAAACCTACTTCTTGAATAGAGTGTTCCTTAGGGTTTTTTTTTTTTTGACGGCAAGAGTGTTCCTTAGGTTGGTGACATTTCCATACCTTTACCTAATATATATTTTGTATGGTCCGAAGCCTGAGAGCTGCCTATGGCTTTGGTCACAGCTCGTGCCCCTGATCGAATTTCTGCTTTCCATGTTTGTTTTTTGTGTTTAATTATCCTCTACTTGGTAGCAAGAGGAAGGCCATAATTCACTGTGGTATTTGCCTTCAATTGTGGTAGAGTTGCACTAGAATGCTGTTTTCTCATTAGACTCAAGAGTTTGTGAGATTATGTTTATCTGCAGTGTTATGTTATTGTGTTAACACATGGCTTGTAGGCTCTTGGTGATGATATGCGGAACAAATTTCTGGGAGGTCATGAGAGGATCCTCACTTGGATCGACAATGTGAGGAAAGCCACAAGTCCTCACTTTGACGAAGCCCACATGTTCCTCTTCGAAGTGAAGGCACAAATGCAAAGCAAGGCCGCTGCTGCAGCAGCAAAACAGGGTGGTTCTGAGGCAAGCTCAAAGCTCAAATTCGCATCGAAGCTTTGATAGATTGTGTTGAGAGAAGCGACGAGGGTTCAGTATAGGTAGATAGAAAGAAGAGTATAGACAATGACAAGAGACAACTGGTTGTGTGTCCAGCATTTTGCTGCCTAAGGGCCTGGATTTTCCTGTGGGTAAAAAGGATCCGATCCTTTGGTATGGTAATGTGCAACTCCTAATTTCAGTTTTATGCTTAATTTTGACTAACATAGCGCGAAAGGGTGCCTAGGCACACACTTCCTAGGTTGAAGTAGGAGTTATTTGTAAATATGACGTCACTTCAGGGAGTACTTTCCAAATCTACCAAACTGGCTCTTAACCAAACCGAGGCCTCTGTCTTCCCCTTTGTTCATGCTTGATAGAGATCTAGGGTTAGAGATATAAGAAGGGACGATGCTATGATATATCAAATTCTTCCATTGAAGAGTAAAATTGTGGGAATTTAGAGCATCCTAGTCTTGTTGTTTACCACATTTTGCATCTCCATTTTTTTAGTGGATTGTTTGCTTGTTTCTGCTTCTTATTTTCCTATCATAGTGCTGCTGAGAACACTGAGGACTGAGGTGAGGCGCATGTTTTTTTTTTCGTTCTCAACATTGCACCATTCGAAGGCACATTGCAAAATCGAGGCTCCGGGTTGGCAAGAGATGACAGAGTTACCCACCAATGATATGGAAAAAGTACTTTCATGCAATCGAATCCCATCGTGACATCGTGTGGAATAAGTGAAAAGTGGACTGAGCCTTTGAGCCATTCCCTAAGGGCAGGGCCAACGCTGACCAACATGAGTAGCGGTTTGAGGTTAAAGTTGTTTGCCTTGTTTAGTTTCTTTCCCTAATGTTTAGTCCATATCTCATTCGATGTTTGGACACATATATGGAGTATTAAATATAGATAAAAAAATAACTAATTGCATAGATTGCGACTAATTTGTGAGACGGATTTTTTAAGCCTAATTAATCCATGATTTGACAATGTGTTGCTACAGTAAAACAACAGTAACACATGTGCTGCTGCCGGATTAATTAGGCTTAATAAATTCGTCTCGCGGAGTACTGAGGATTTCTATAATTTGTTTTATTATTACTATCCGAACACTTCGACGTAACACTCCTAAACTTTAACCTCTGGATTTAAACAAAGCCATAGATATAAACAGTTTGGAGATTTCAAGTTCACAACCCAGGCCGTTACTGCCAATTAAATGCTGGCCCTAGTGTTCCTTCTTTCATAGACTCTCAGCCCTGAGAAAAGATGTAGCAGACCTTCAACTTTTGGCAATCTGCTCTCTAGTGGTAGCTTATCTCTTTTGGCATACCTTTCTGCAGGCAGCACTGGCGCCCTGCAAAACCACTATCCGAACTAACGTGTATGATGCATGCGAACGTGGAAGCTGGGGCATATAGCCACTGTGTAGTGTTGGGGACGGCTTAATGCTCCCGCATGTGGGAAAGGTGAAAAGTGGACTGAGCCTTTAAGCCATTTTCTAAGATCTTCCCCAACGCTGGATTTTTACTTATAGCCCCAAAGGCCATGTAGGATCAGATAGAAAAAATAGGTGCTCTATACTTGTCATGGTGGCTTGCAGAAGCTACATATGTTTGGGAGAGAGAATATGGTCCTTGCTAAAAAAGAAGAGGGAGAGTAAATAAAGGTGAGGCATGATGAAAGAAAAAAGTTTTCTGTGCAAACCACAAATAGTAATAGTTTGCATTGTATGAATAATAGTCTCAATATTTTCTAGTCTATGTGGATCACTCTATATGTACTAGAAGTACATGAGTGTTAGCTTCCATTTGGTGGTGCCCTTGCTCCCGCTTGGCTATTGCCTGTTAGCCGTATCCCCACGTTTGCATGACGTGATCTCCACAAGACACAATTTAATAGCTCTTCGGACCGTCAAAGTGGCTTTCAGGGATAATAAGTGCTTTTTCCGATAAAAAGGAAGAAGCCCCTGACGCAGCGCGTGATGTAATAGAAATTTTGTTAGAAGTTTGCATTTTATATCTAACAAAAGATAGAAAAATATCAAGTCGCCCGGACGGACACCCATGCCTGCACATTCCCATTTCGCGTGCCTCACGTGGCGACCCGCATCGCTTCGAACGTCACCAGTATCGAGAAGAGGGGGAGGAAGTAGCGTCCGCTCACGCCTCTGGCTCGGATGCCCAGCCGGTTTTGGGAGGAGAAGTCACCGAGGCGAGACAGCAGAAGGCAAGGAGGGAGATACAACACTTATCTACTTTTGAAACATCCAAATACAACACTTGCAATATACATCTGAAGATAGATGAAACACTTGAAATATGCTCTGAAACATTTGCAAAAACACCTGAAAAACACTTGAAACCATTGTAAAACATACGCAACATCTAGATAAAACACTTGTAACATATATGTGAAACATATGCAACATTCAAATAAACGCACTTGAAACATACGACTAAAAAAACAGATGAAACATTGTGAACAGAACCTTGCAACATATGTGTATAGCCATTGCAACATATGTAACATCCAAATAAACACACTTGAAACATACGGCTGAAAAAACAGATGAAACATTGGGAACATAATCTTGCAACATATGTGTACAACCAATGCAACATTTATAAACACACTTGAAACATACGTTTGAAAAAACAGATGAAACATTGGGAACAGAATCTTGCAACATATATGTACAACCATTGCAACATATGCAACATCCAAATAAACACACTTGAAACATACGGCTGAAAAATAGATCAAACATTGGGAACAAAATCTTGCAAATATGTGTACAACTATTGCAACTATGCAACATTTATAAACACACTTGAAACATACGTCCAAAACAAATAGATGAAACATTGGGAACAAATCTTGCAACATATGTGTACAGCCATTGCAACATATGCAACATTATAAACACACTTGAAACATACGTCTGAAAAAACAGATGAAACATTAGGAACAAAATCATGCAACATACGTGTACAACCATTGCAACATACGCAACATCTCAATCTACTTTTGCAACATCCATATGAACACACTTGCAACATACCTATAAAACATTTGAAACACTTGAAACATGGACTTGCAACATGCTCTTTAAGTGCAACATCTCCTTGCTGCTTGGCTCGTCGGCGTGTGGAGTTCACCGGTGTAGAGCTTGTCGCTCCGGTGGAGAAGACCGTGGCAAGTCTGGTGGAGAAAGCCACGGTGGGTCCGCACGCTGGAGAAGGTCACGACGAGTTGGAGGCACAGTGGAGAGGGAGGAAGACCGACTACGTGCTTGGGCACAGTGGAGATGCCGGCCAGTGGCGCAATAGAGATGAGGCGCGGTGGAGAGCACAGCGGTGTGGCGGAGCGCGGTCGCAGAGCACTGCCGCAACGCTACGATGAGGTGAATTTTTTTAGAGCGGTCGCGAGGCGAGTGGACTAGCAGATAAGAGGCGGTCGTTTGGCAGACGGACATCGGCTTCCTAGAATTATCGGAAAAGGACCCGACAAAAGACCACATTTATTATTTTCTTTAGCTCGTGTTGAGAGTCTTTGATCTAGTGTGCCTAGCTTTATTAGCAAAAATGCCCTTGCGTTGCAACGAGACACATGGTTTATTGCAATGTCACTTATAGGAGTTTTGGCTCGAAATTTATTTAACTAAAGTGTCATGTGTTTTGATTCGCCTTCAAATCAACTGTGTTTTACTCTAACTCATACGAACATGGAAAGCTAAAGTATCATGTGTTTCAATTCGCCTTCAAATTAATTGACTGTGTTTTACTCTAACTCGTACGAACATGAAAAGACTAGAGATTTATCCAATGATGTGTCATGTATTTTAATTCTTCTTATAAATTGAACTCCGTAGGCCATGCTCATTTAACTTCAGACCAAATACTTATTTTTAATAAAAAGCTAAGACATAAGAGTACCTCTTGTTTGAATGAAAACAAAATAGAAAACAATGCTAGACCTAGACAACACAGATGTAAACAGCCTGAGAAAGCATGGTGTGCACTCGAGCTCCACCTCGTCCTCGCGGCTATGTCCTGTGGCTGCGGCCAAGCTTCGCGCATCGCCCCTTGTAAGGGACCGTGACGCCTAAGAGGGGGGTGAATTAGGTAACTTAAAATTCTACTTCTAACTAAGGTCTCTAATTTTACCTAGTCAAAACCTATGCTGGAAAGTAATCTATCTAAATATATAACTACGATTTTGCTAGCTGTGTTGCTATCTCTACCACAAAAGAGTGACGCAACCTAGGTCCCAATCCTATCAACTAAGCTAGGGAAGTAAAGCACGCAACCAAGGTAGCAATGTAAATGCAGAAGGTAAAGATGAGGTAGAGGTGCAAACTCCCGTCTATGACTCTGGTATTTTTATCGAGGTATCGAGAAACGCTCAAGCTTCCCCCTAGTCCTTGTTGGAGCTCCTCGCAAGGGTTAAGCTCCTGGTCGGATAACTCCGTGGATAGTCCCGGGCCTTTCCCATGCGCAAGTGGGCCTCCGGTGTGTCTTCCGGCAAGCCTCTCCTAGACCTCTCCCCGCCGTCTTCACTATCAAGCTTCCGACCGAACCGCAACGGGCCTTGTTCCCTTGGTACACGGTGGCGGTCACACCACAAACGCGGTTGGTGTGATCTTGCAAGACTACAAGCTACTCCGATGTACAACAATGGTGCGCGCAAGCACCAAGTGATAAGAGATGTGTAAATCTCACTAAACACTAGGCCTAAACCAAGAGCAAGCGCATAAGCAGTGGTCTAATCAACCTAAGCACTTCGCAATGCACCTATGCTAATCACCTAATGAATCACTAAGCACTATACAAGTGAAGATCACTAAAATGGTGTATCAACACCCTTGGTATGTTTTCTCAGCTCTCCACTCCTCAAATAGCTGGTTGGGGGTCTATTTATAAGTCTCATGGAGAAAGTAGCCGTTGGGGGTGAAACCCAGCTTTCTGCTACTGACCGGACGCGTCTGGTCGTCCCGACCATTGAGTGCGCGCGTAGAG